TGGTTTATTGGTTGGAGGAATAGATGATGGTGAATAGATGGAGTGATCGAATAAATGTTAGAATGACTGTAGAAAAAGTGTAGAATGAATGAATGAATGAATGAATGAATGAATGAATGAATGAATGAATGAATGAACAAACGAACGAATGAACGAACGAACGAATGAATGATTAAATGAGTGTTTAAATATTTTTTGACATCACAACGATCAAATAACCTTTCTAGAATTAATTACAACGCTTCCTTGCGACTCAGCTCCACCAGCGCCATCTATCTCTGCGTCTATCATAAAATGAGTAATAATGTAATTGATCCAACTATTCACTCATTCATTCGCTTACTCATTCATTCACTCACTCATTAATCCATTCATTCACTCATTCATTCGTACACCTTACAAGTTAACCTTTGAACCCGACATCAATCTCCCACGTGTGGACGACCGTCTGGAACGATGATGATGCTGCTCGATGCGGTGGTGATGATAACGATGTTGTCGCCAGTGACGGTGATGATGACGACACCGGCGTGGATGATAATGATGATGGCATAACTTTTTGCAGTACCACCAAATAGAATCTCTCAAAGCCAGATGATGAAGATGAAGAAGATGAAGCTGGTGATGATGATGATGACGCACCTGTGACCATCTTCTCTTGGAAAACGTGAATCAACTGTATCTGAATCCATGACTGTTAGTAGAAAGACAGATGGGAAAAATCAGTGGAAAATGAAAAAAAGAGAAAGTAAAGCGAGAACTCAGAAAGAGAAAGCCCAGAGAGAGAGAGAGAAAGAGTGACAGTGAGAGAGAGAAAAGTGGTAAAATTATTGAACATTTGAGTGGAAAACAGATGATAAAGAGAAAAATGTAGAAATAACAAAAAAAAGCAACAAGCGTATGAATGAGCATTAAAAAATAACTTAATTATTATGCTAATTACATCCAATCAAACGTATAATCTAATTAATTTATTAACGCCACTCAAAAAAAATAAGCTTCCCCTACTTTCTCCGCATCAGCAATTGGAGCCAGATCGAGAATGCAACCAGGCTTTGAGGTTGATTGATGGCTGATAATCTTATACGATTGGTGGCTATTTTTAGAAGTGGGTGTGGCCTGGTCATCCTGTAACAAGTGGCAATCGTTTGGCGCCTGGTCTGGGGTCAGGGGCTGCTAAATGAGGCGAAATTGAGAGCGGGAAAGTTTAAAAATATGAATAAATGATAAATTAATTATTATTGCGATGATAAAAACTTCATCATCTTCATCACAACCTCAATCATCACCACAATTTCAATCATTACCACAATTTCAATCATCATCATCGTCACCGTCTCAATCATCATAATCATCATCAGTATGACCTCTTGTTTCATTGGAGCCTTCAATTCGGCCAAAATGAGCCTGGCATCAAAGACGGCCTGATAAACTCTAAGTGACGAACCATTGGACGCTATAAATAGAGCACTCGGGGAAACCCCACTGTTCTCCGAAGATGCACTGAAAATATGTGCGTGTGCTTGTGTGTGCGTGCGTGCGTGTGAGTGTGTGCGTAGGTTAAACACACTAACATGGACATCAAATTAGGTAGCCAGGCAACATTAGCGAAAGCAGAGCAGACGCTTGAGTTGACCCTGGCCAGTTCATGGATGCCCCCTGACTTCGATAGGGGGCCAATCGGCTCTACCTGCCACAAAATCAACTCGCTACAGTACCCACTAATATGCACGTCGGAATCTTGGTCGTGACCTAGTTTGGAGGATTTTTATTGGTTCAGGTTTACAGAACAAAGTGGAATAATATTCTTAATACTGTCAATTGATGTAAGTTAGACGTAATAATTTCAAACCATTATTGAGGTGTGAGGTGGTGAGTAGAAGGGGTAGAACAGGGTGGCACGTGGCCCCGTTCGTGTGGTACCTGTGCCCGCAGACCCTACCGAGGTGGGTCACACTGGTCGCGTTCGTAAACCTCATGACCCCCCCGCCGAAGTTTGATGTTGATGATGATGATGAAAGCGGATGTTTCGAGAATGATGAAGCTGATAATGATGAGGATGGGGTGGTTGTTGTTGTAGATGATGATGATTGGAGGTTTTGGCGTAAGTTAGGCTGGTGCTCGTAGAAGCCGATGCACCACAAATTTAGCGAACCGTTGGAATGTTTCGTGAGCAGAAGAACTCGAGGTAATGATGATAATGATGGTGATGGTGGTGCTGATGATGATGATTGCGAGTTTGCAATGCCCTGGGAGTTTTCTAATCTGAGTGGTTTGGTGTTGAAATAAAGACGCCACCATCCGAGCCAGTTCATCAGCACCACCATACATTATCCTTATCATCATCATTATCTTCAGTATGCATCATCATCATCGTCGTCATCATCATCATAAACCGAACAGAAACCTGTTTTCGCCTCCCCTAAAGTTAGAGAGTTGAGTGGACTGGTAATAAATGTAGGGGGTGTTCAGCATAGTGGTAGCGTCGTACGACGGGAAGGCCTTCGGTAGCCTGGAGTTGAAACTTATTTGAACCTGCCTGTATGAACCTGGGCCCACCTCGTCCAGATAATGAACTGTCCTGTGTACGTGTGTGCGTGCGTGTGCGTAATTATTTCAGAAATTATCTTCCATTAAAACGGTCAAAACGCCAAACGCATACAGCGAACGTAAGTAGAGGTCAATAAAATAGCGATTCACGCATATTTCACGTGAGAGGCCACACTAACAGCACCTTAATCATCGCCCCGTGCATGTATGTATGTACATAATGTATGTACTTGTACATAATGTATGTATGTATGTACTTGTACATAATCATCGTCTTCGTCGTCGTCGTCATCATGGTCATCACAATCATCATCCTCATCGACTGACCAAATGAGTAAACTGCCATCTGAGGGGTGGATACTAAACAGCACATCACTACTTTCGTTCCAGTGACGTAATACGAGATCCATGTGGCTTTCCCACGGATCACATGAGCTACTACTTTCACTTTCCTTTTCACGAGTGAGTGAGTGAATGATTGGATGGATGGACGAATGAACGAACGAATGAATGAATACATGAATGAATGTACAAATGGACAAATATGAACGGATGGATTAACAAATGGTATTTAGAACAGTATAGACAAAACCATTATTTGAAAGAATGAATGAATGAATGAATGAATTAATGAATTAATAAATGAATGAATGAATAAATAAAAAAATGAATGAGTTAATGAATGATATAATGAATGACGGACGGAGAAAATAGTAAATGAATCAAATTAATTATATAAACACACGAACCGTTAAATTACAATTGCCATTGCTATTAATATTGCTATTGTTGTTGTCATCATTATCAGTACTAGAAAATGTCTGAGCTTTGGTCATCTTTGTGACTCTCTTGATATTTTTATCTGTAAAAAAAATTGAAATACTACAACAACTAATACCACTACTACAACTACAATAACAACACAGCTGCTACTACTACTACTACTACTACTACTACTACTACTACTACTACTACTAATAACAATAATAATAAAAATAATAATAATAAATAATAATAATAACAAATAATAATAATAATAACTATTGATGGCATTTTCCGACTCTACTGGGTGGAGTGCACTCGCTACGATAGCTGTTTGGTTCTTTGCAGCTGCTGCTGCGGTATTTAGAGTACCATTTAGAGTGTCTTTGGTATCGGGGTGTTTATCTAATTTGGCGGGAAAAATTATTTGGCTAGTTTGTTTGGTTAATTGGTTGGATAAGTTGGTTTAGCTTTGTTATGATGTTGTCATGGGGTTATTTATTTACTCCATCATTCATTCATTCATTCATTCATTCATTCATTCATTCATTCATTCATTCATTCATTCATTCATTCATTCATTCATTCATTCTTTCATTCATTCTTTCATTCATCTATTCATTCATTCATTCATTCTTTCATTCTTTCATTCATTCATCCATTAATCCATTCATTCATTCATTCATTCCTTCACCCATCCATTCACTCACTCATTTGCTGTGTGTTCGCGAGTAGATTTTCTACCAGAGTA